ACTGCGCAGTAAGCAGCGGCTGCGCTGCAATGTGGGCAATATTATGAGAATTTATTTGTCGAATAATTTCTTTTGTAGACATACGATCTTAATGAAATTATTATATTTATACCCTGAGCCCATTTTCAATGGGAAATTAGGGTATAATCGTTTTGTTAAATGTATGTAACAGGCAGAAGGAGGCGTAGCAGACCCCATAGAGTATATATATGATATAATCAGAATCTGAAAGTTTCATGATGAATCTACATCCACAAAATTGGAAAAGGAATTATTATCTTGCTTTTGCACGATCAAGGCAAATTTGATGCATAAACTGGAGAGATAATGGAAAGAAACCGATTTTCTTTTCGAAGCTACGTGCAGCGCTCTAAGGAAGCCCGCCATCTGCAAAGTTCATAAACATACAGGTCGCCTTAAGTTGTTGAACAGCCATGAATGCAGGAAAATCAATGTGTGGGTTTACTATAAGAGTGAGAACGTTTGGTCTTTATTGAAGCTATATAGAATCGCTGATTTATCAAGGACGAGAAATGCCCCTAAAGACGCTCCAAAAGGTCATCGATACCAAAGGGGGTATAACTTTCATAGCCAGCCAACGAATGTTTCTTAAGAACTCGACGGTGAACTCTAAGGATGTAAAACAATACAATACAATTGCAATGCCAATGCATTGGCTGAAAATGTGAAATGTTTATCAAATCTTACAGGGTATCTTTTAGTCAGGCACTTTCGATTTTTTCACAAATTTTCTAAGAAATATTTAGTTTTGACTGCTCAAACGTGAATATACATAATCAGAAAATTATCTGGACTAAAAGTGATTTTCAAACAGAATAATTTAGCGTTAGATGTTTGTGAGTACTCCCCGTCTAGTTTTAAACTCATTAAAGTATGATAAAATTACATTACAATTACATAAATACAATATTATAAACGCTATACTTACTTACTCAAACATTAAAAGCAAAATATCTTAAATTGTACACATAAATTTGTCAGTTTATTCAGTTTACAGCTTAGAATTGTTATAAATACAAAAAAAATGTATATACATATTTATCAAACACTATTATATAACATGAATAAAAAAAACTTGGGTCTCAATCAGGTGTATCGAAAGAAGCTCAAATGGACTTTACAACACTTCAATTGCACTCGCCGGCGCTGTATATGAATGCTTGCACATAAGATAAGTACCTAGCCTATACACATATCAATTAAAGCTCTGACTCCCTTAACTTTACGCCCTGAAAATGCGGTAACCCGAAATTTAACCCAAGCTCGACCCCAAACCGAAACCATTGCTGGAAGCCTCGCCCACATATTTACCCCATAAACCTATCACTGGAACGGACTGTCCAAACTTATCACAAAACGAATTTGTCCTATAGTACATATAGATGTATATAAACATAAATCATAATCATAAAAAGCTAACATAGTTACGGTTAAGCTGTATTTAAAAAAAAATAATAATAGTAATCAATTTAGTGTTTTTCACTCAGGTCTAGGTCGTGGTCTCATCGTAGCCGCAGTGTACATAGCCCGTTTCCAGGGATCCGCTGACTGCCGCTGACTTCGAGAGCAGATCGGAACTGCCGTTGGAAACCGACTCACAGTTGTCGAGGATGCGCTCGAAGACCGCCTCGAAGCGACAGCGGCTTATCGCAAAGTGGGCCGGTAGCTCCAAGCTGGTGGCCATCACGCGCACTGCTTCGAAGAGTGCGGCAAGCGTTGGCTGCTTAGCGCTGCTCGTCACCTCCGAGATGTTTGGTTGACACACTTTCACAATGAAGCGCAGACTGTGCGCATAGTGCATCAGCTCACAGGCGCCGGGCAGGTACTGAGGCAGAATCCTGGCCAGTTCGGCCTGTTGAATGGGCGCGCAGAAGCAACTGATGGCATAGTAGCCACCGTGCTGGCTCTTCAGCTCCGCTGGACTGTTGCTAGCCACGATCTGGCCATCCTTAAGCACAGCCACTCGCTGGCACAGATGCTCTATTTCCGATATAGAGTGCGAGGTCAAGAGCACAGCGCGTCGCGCCACCAGCAGCTGCTCAATAGTGCGATAAACAAAAGATCGTGTCACCGGATCCATATCGCTCGTCGGCTCATCCATTAGCACCGTCGGCGTATAGCCGCAGCAGCTGATAGCCACCGTCAGCTTGCGTCGATTGCCGCCGCTCAGCTTCTTTACCTGGACATCCCGAAAGCTGCGGAGCTCATAAGTGTCCAGTATGCGTTCCAGCAGGCTGTCCACATCCTTTATGCCTCTCAGTTGGCCATAGAGCCGGATGCATTCCTTCACAGTCAGGAGCGGATCTAGTGGATTACTCTGCGGGCAATACGAAACGCCTGGCTAAAAAGGGTAAAAATAATTCACAGTGACTCATTGATAGATTGCATATTTGAGTGAGTTCATTTGCCTGATTGGAACAAATTAATTGATCGACAGAGTGATTAACTGAATTAACAACTAGTTGACTGATTAACATATCGATGAGTGGACTTTGAGACTGATTTACTAACTAATTAGTTTTCATGAATTACTTTTCGCTGAATTACTGACAAGTCCACTAAGTTATATTATCAGAATTAATTACTGATTGTTTGGTATGACTGAAGCACCAGCTGACTGACAAACTGACTAAGTTGGTCATTCTTCTAAAAACTGATGGATTACTGGCTGATTGAAGGTGCAAGCTGATTGAGCGGTTAACTAAAAAGATGAATTGAATAAGTGTTTAATGAAACGTGAGGAACTTACATGCTCGAAATATATATTCCCTACATCTGGGAGTAGCTGACGTGTGAGTATCTTGAATATGGTTGACTTGCCAGCTCCGTTCTTGCCAAGCAGCCCAAAGCATTCACCGCGCTGCACGCCAAAGTGAACCTGACGGACGGCATAGCGTCCACGGCGGTAGGCTAGCCAAAGATTCTCGACCCGCAGTGCCTCACCGGCGCCGACGCAACTCTTAAAAATACTATTGATGTTGACGAGCTTCAGCTGTCCAAGCTTGCGCAATTCGCGCCTGTACTGGCAGTCCAAGATGCTCGCCATTTGCTGCCAGAGACGACTCAGCAAATGACACTCAATGAGCCAGTTCAGCAGCAGGCAGACAATGCCCACCAGAATCAGGGCTATAAAGTGACGCTGCAGCAGATCACTGGCCAGCGGCTGTTTATAGGAGTCAATGTCGTACCGTTTGAAGACAACGGCGACCATATAGTTCTTGCATAGCTCTAGCAGGCCATCGCCCAGTGCATGTTGAGGAAAGATAAGGAAGGCATTGTTGAGGCCATGGCGCCAAGTGTCCCACGTGGGGCCGTCGCCCACGACTCCTAGAATTAACACAATGCCCATGGTAGCCACTGGAATGATGATGTTGGCGCAAAAGATGGACACAATAGCGATGCTCGAGTCACTGAAGATCTTTTCCAGAACATGCACGGCGGGTACGCACGCAAAGCTGTAAGGCAAATGGAGCAGGAAATAAACACAGCGATAGATGATCGGAATAAAATAAAGACACTTACCTAAACATCAGAGATAGAGCCACAATGCCCACCAGTTGCTGACGGTCGACAAAGACGGGCATATTAAAGATCAGCACAATCGCGAGGCAGACGATCAGAGCCAGCAACATGATGAGATAGTCCCAGAGAATGGCCACCAGCCAATAGGTAGTAGCGCTCACGCCGCTTAGGCGCTGCTGCAGCTTCTCGCCATTGACGCGCTCATTGACCAGGTAAACGGAAGCAGCCGCAACCACTAGGCCGAACGCGATCAGCAGTATGAAGACCATGCAGGAATCACCAGCCTGACGCAGCACCGAACTGGTGCTAAGCTCGGCGAAGCCCAGCTTCCAGGGCTCATTCAATGTTTGTATTTGAAATGATGAGTTGTCAAGCGTGCTGCGCAACAGCTGGCTATTCAGATCATTCAGCCAGGCTACCATGGCATGGTAGCCCTTGTTGTTGTACCAGACGGTGGCGCCAGTGCCATTGATACCGTAACCGCCATAGCGACGACCACGATACTTATCCAGGCTGTTGAGCACCCAGTCGAAGGCGTCACGAGAATTGGTGAATTCGCCGCATTCAAAGGCCGTTCCGCATTCGGTCGTTAGATTGTCGTAAACAATCTCTGTGAAGTCAGTCACCTTCTCCGCGCTCATGACTTGGGCACTATGCGGATAGAGCGCGCGACTCAACGGGAGGATCGTGTCAAAGTCATCGTTCAAGCGATAGCTGACAAACCACATTGCGCAAAGCTCAAAAATGGCAGGCAGGAGCAGCACGTACAGGAGTAGGCGATAGTTGCGCATTAGATGACGGCGCCGCTTGCCCAGGAGCAGCACAAAATGTTTCCAGGAGCCAGGCGGCTTTTCGAACACATCGGAGGCCCCGGTGACAATGCTCGATGTGGAGGGCGTCACATGCACAAGTGATTCGTCTTTGCGATTCAGCTGCTCGAACTCCTGCTCCAGAGTGGAACTGCTGTTGAGTGTCACATCGGTAATGTGACCCGCCGCTTCCTGTGCCAGCAGGAACTCCACAAACTGAACAGCAGCCGGAGTCAGGTTCTGTGCAAAGCTAGCGCTAATGATCAAGTGTTGGGGTTCCTGACCGGGCAGCACATGGCTTTGGTTCAGGAGCTGCTGTGCCCGTTGTATTATCGTAGCAGATGCATTGGGATCAATGCAGCGCATCTCCATGCTATAATCCGAGGTGCAGAGCCGCTGCAGCGAGTCTCGGCTGTGCTGGGCAATGATGCGACCCTGTGAAGAAGACATTGGATAAGTTTAAGCCCAGCATCAAGACGAGCTTCAACTCGATTTTGTTCATCCACTCACATTGCGCATGATGAAGAGCGCATCACTGAGGTACTTGGCCTCGTCGAGAAAGTGTGTGGCAAAGATTACAGCACGTCCCTGACGCAGCTGCTCTATCAGCTGCCAGATATCCTTGCGCGCCTTGGCATCGACCCCATTGCAGGGCTCATCCAAGATGACAACGCTTGGCGATGCGATGAACGCGATGGCTACACAGAGACGTCGCCTATAGCCGCCTGACAGCTGATAGGCATAATAGTTCTCATGTTTGCCGAAGTTGAGACTCTTCAAGGTGCGCCGCACCTCCTGCTTTGCGCTCACACACTCGCTATCAGCAGCGTCTATCTTGAGCTGAGCATAAAGCTCCAGATGCTCTCGTGCCGTCAGCTTGGGTATAAGTATATTGTCCTGCCAGCAGACTCCCACATTATGCTGACCGGCGAGCACCACTTGGCCCGTCGTCTGCACCGTTTGACCCGTGAGCAACTTGATGAGCGTACTCTTACCAGCGCCGTTGCGCCCGAGCAGGCAGCTGACCTGATTGCGTGCAAAGTCAACCGTAAGATTCGACAGAGCATGCTTGTGGCCATACATTTTGGAGACGCTGGTCAAGGACGCGCCCAGCTTCGCATCAAGCTGTGCGCGAGTGACCCGCACAAAGCTGTAGTTGCCTAAGATAAACTCACATAATAACCATTCGAAGCTCCAGCGGCTTTTACTCACTTTTCTTGTAGCGCTGGTATCCATAGCCAATGGCCGCATATAGCAGCAGATCAAGTATAAACATCAGAAAGGCCAGCGCACACTCGCTGCCCGCGGGCCCCAAGTGCAGAAGATGACCAACGGTCAAGCCCTGATCTTGCAGCTCCATGCGCAAAAGCTCGGTCCAGCCCTTGGCAAAGGCCGTCGTGAAGGACAAGTTGACAAAAAAGCTCTCCAGCAGATTCAGCTTTGCGTCGAAGAGCAGTACTATGATGAATGGACAGAGGGTGATGAAGAATAGTAGCGCCGCAGCGACTGCCCCAATGTTGGCAGATATAAAGAAGTTGGAGCACATATAGCTATAAGAATATCGGAAGCTCAGCGGGAAGATCACGAAAGTTGTATTACTCAAATACACACCAGAATGAGATTAGACAAGCGCTAAAGACCAGGCAATAGAACATCATGAAGAACCAATTGGTATAGACCAAAATGCCGCCGATGTAGAGAACAAGGCTGACCAGCACAAATATGACGAACAGCTCGGCGAAGCTCATTAATATCCAAGCAATCAGCTCTGAGTGCGCATGCATACCCATGGAGCGCATCAGCTATTCAAATAACAGAGTTAGCTGGAGCTAGAGGGAAACAGCGTCAAGCTTACCATGCTATTACGGCTCTCACGCATCCAGATCCTTTCTCGCACGCAGACGGCCACGGCAACGACGAGGCCCAGACAGAAGCACACTTGCACGGCTTGAGCCAGGTATATGCCGCGTTTAAAGCTGCAATAATAAAGCGATTGAGTTGATTGAATCCACTACAAAGCGAGGACATACTAACTCATCGCGCACATAGGCAGGATAGGGAAATTGTTTGGTATAAAACTGCATCTCGTCCACGTCATATTTAATACCATGGGCATTGTCATTTCTATTGCTGAAGCTGCTGAGCAAATCCAAGAGACCCTGGCGCTTAACCCGACTTACGCGGAAGTCCGAATTGAGCTTGGGATCTGCTAAAGCTTGGCTGAGGGCGCTTTCAAAGCCGCTTGGCAACTTGAAGTTCATTAAATTATCATTGCTCAGGAATTTAAAGTCGGGATTTACGGTTGATGTTTCTGTTAGCGGTTGTGACCCATCGGTGACTGTAACTTCTACCTCGTCAGATCCAGGATCGAGAGTCGTAGTTGCCTCATCGCTGCTGGAATTCTCGTCATCTGTATCTTCGCCCTTCTCCTCATCCTCTTCATTAAAGAGATCTTCATCATCATCAACGCGTTTCAAACTGATTGAGGGCCGTGAGATCTCATCAGTTTCCGGCTGCTCGTCCGGTCCCAGCTCCTTTCGCTTATGCTTGATAATCGCCAGGTCGACCATCTGCATGAGCTGAACGAAGCCACGATGATACTTGAGATCCACCAGCATGCTTGATGCTGGCCCCGGGAACCAGAACCGATTTTTGTTCTCGAACGTCGGCTGCGTATTGTCCGTGTCCATGTGTAATCTGTAGGTTATATACTGGCCAGCTACATCCTCAAAGTTGAGCGCTGCCAAAAAGAGGCGCTGCTGATTGAGCTCATAGGCGCGATGCTGCAATTTCTCGACACTTGTCACCCCCTCAAACCGATTAGCCGATACGCACTCCATGAGATCACTAACGGTAGTAAAAACCTGATGTATAAGCTCATTGGTGCGAACATAGTTCATAATTCGCTCAATCTCCTCCACATTGAACTCACTGCCAACCAAGCTTTGAACGAGTGGCGAACGGGCCAGTTTCAGCAGATTGTCAAAGGCCTGCTGAAATGTGGCATTCGTGTGCAGCTTGTCGAGGATGGTTGCGGCTGCGTGTGATATATTCTTTACTCGATCTATTTCCTCGAAAGTTGCATTGGTCTGTAAACAATCATTTATAGTTTAGTAATCGCTAAGTCAAGACTTTTAACGCTATCCAGGCACTTACAAATTTCACGATGCTCTCCGTATTAGCATTGAGTGGCGTATATAAAATTTTACCCTGTATAATTGGCTTGATGAAATTCCAGGTAAGCTTGCCTTGATTCGATGAGGTAACATCCAAATACAGTCGCTTACAATACTTGGCTGTAAGACGAGAGAATAGAGGAGTTTGTATAAATACGGCAGCCCAATATTTATTGGGGAACGTACTTGGCATGGCCTTTAGCTCATCGTCATTGACTTCGCTGAAATCCTCGGAGTACAGTATATCATTGACCAGAGGTATGCTCTCCGTGCTGGGAAACGGATGGCCGCAAAGTAAAACGCCCAGCTTCACAAACGTTTCACGATCTACAATGATCCAAGAGAGAGAGGGAGAGAAAGAGAGAGACAGGGAGAGAGAGAGAGCAAGTGAGAGGAGACTGAAAGAGAATGATAGCGTACAATCGGACTACTCACTTGAAAATAGTTTTGTGACATCAAAGCTGTAGTTCATCAGGCGCTCAATTTCGGGAACCAAAGAAACGATTTGGCTAATATTACCTGTAAAAACAAAAATATCTTTAGTATATGAACCATAGTACAAAGACACAAGGAAACTACTCACTTCGAATGACATTGAGATGACTACTGGTTATGAGTGTAGTGACTGCGCTTACAAAGTTCGCCTTTTCCGGCAGCTCGATGATTGCATTGTACAATCGATCATCGGTGACGAATACATTGACTATATCAATGACCGAATGCAAGCTGAAACAAAGCTGCGCTTAAGAGCAATTCCATAGATACTATTTATGATTCAAGCTTACGGTGCTGCCTGCCATTTGGAGTACTCCTCATACGGCTCGGTGTTCAGACACTTGTTCTCTATGCTGCAAATGTAAGAGAAGGCGCTGGGCACAACCTGATTTTTGGTGGGCAGCAGACGAGTGGGGAACTGGCATGCGTCCATCTGCTCTGAGCCGTACTTTAGCCTTATTAGATATATCAGCATAAATGCAATCAACGGCCACAATATCACCGTCAACGAGAGACCTTTCTGGCGCCAGCGCACAATAATGTCTTTGCGCAACAGCGCCTTCACCTCTCTCATCCTGAAGGACATTTTGCTCACGTTCAGTTCCCAAAACTGCACTTACGGATTTCGGCAGATGCTCTCTGTTAAATTTACTGTCCTCCAGATCATTGACACATTCTTTTGCTACACGAAAAAATATAGCGACGAAACTTTATTACATTATCGGTATTAAAGTGTATAGAATTCTTAAGATATTGAGATAAGAGAGTTTCTATTGAAATACTTCTGTTAGATTAGCTCTAATATAGCATCTTCCGAATCATAAGTGGATCTACGCTTAAAACTGTAAATAAAGCAACTGTGAGTAAAAGCCGCTAATCCTTGAAGTACACAATTGGCAACGGCTAGTTTAATTGTTTCTTGTGAATTCACATCCGCTAAGTCGGTTTGTAGTCAGTTGCAGTTCACCTTGAATTCTAAATGCATCCATATTTATACCCTGAACCCATATTCAATGGGAAATCAGGGTATAATGGTTTTCTTAAATGTATGTAACAGGCAGAAGGAGACGTGGCAGACCCAATAAAGTATATATATTCTTGATCAGGGCGACGAGCTGAGTCGATTTAGCTCTGTCCATCTGTCCGTCTGTCCGTATGTTTGAAAGCGTCGATCTCAGAAGATATAAGAGTTAGAGACTTGAAATTTTAGGTCCGTGTATAGCACGCGCATATCGAGTTTTGCTTTAAAATTTCCCCATTATTTTGTTATCGATTAAAAACATTATCGAAAACCAGTAATTAACTTATTTCTCCTACATCTTTAGGGCTAGAGTCTCCAAATTTTGTATGTATACTTATATGCAATTTATACAATTTCGGTTTTTGTCAAAATTTACCCCTCACCCCTAATTCACCCCCTCACCCTCACTTTTGTAAATGGCGTATATCAAATACTAGTGTGTGTGTGTGTGTGTGTGTGTGCGCGTGTGTGTGTCTTGTATAAGCAGAAAGATGCGAAAAATGATTGAAACAGGTATTGCTCAACGGGTTCAGGGGATCTCGTAGTCGGGCAGTCTCGACTAGAGCTTTCTTACTTGTTATACCCTGAGCCCATTTTCAATGGGAAATCTGGGTATAATGGTTTTGTTTATAATTAGTTTTATTGAAGACTATATGAACACCTCTGACATTTGAATGTTTGCCGGTATTGTATAGACATTAGTTGTAATAGTTTATAGCGAAGCGCCAGGAATATTGTGAACGGCTGTATAGTTATAGATCTCATTCATAAATAATTGCAGGTCTCACGAACTCATTTATAAGTACAACCCTCTGCCTCGATTTCATCAATACCAAGGCATTGTGGAATAAAATGTTGAATATTCAACTATGCTTGGAGTAAGTACATATATAACAAATATCGTACTGATAATAGTACTCATTCCAAAAACGGTGCAACTTCTATTGCATTTAACGTCTATCTGTTCAACGACATCTAACGTTTCCAAGAGAAATGCATTCTACTTCTAAACTATAGGCTACAGCCAGCTACACTTATACTATGTGAATATGATAGGTATGTGTTTCAGTATTCATTATATTGCACATCTGGAAAATAAAATTTATTCGTCGAAATCTTTAGACTAGGCGCTTGACGTATTTGAGCCTTTCTTTCAACAAGGCAAAGCTTTCGTATCTACCGACAGGAACCGAAGCATAACAAAGTTTGACATGTGACTTTTGGATGAAGTTGATTGGGATTGCTTTTTGCTTTCTCGTTGGCAGAGGCAATTACGTCGGCCGCCTGAAGGCGGGAGGGATCAAGCCTACATCGATGAAAATTTTAAAATATTATCATATATATTGTTGAGTCTTTGGCTTTTTGGACTTGCCGCGTTCCGAATGGGCTTAACTTGTCCCCGCCAGCTGGCGGTTAATCAATATGCAATATTCTCTCACATATTATCTTGTGTGAAATATTGTTGTCGTGCCTCAAGTTTGTGTGTCATTGTCATTTCCTTGGCTCGTGCTGGCCTCAGCTACAGCTGCGGAATGAGACATTCGATCTAAAGATGTCTGGGCAAAACTCTTGACCTTTAATTGATTTGAGTTAATTGTTACTAGCAAGCTAGCTAGTCTTTAGCTTTGGCTAAGATTCATTTGCCTAAGCGGCGAGAATATAGTTAAGCTCTGAGTTACTGCAGCTTAATGAAGAGTTATATGACTGTTATGAAAACAACACAATTAAAATTTCCATTTTCAAATTCAATTGAAAATATAAAACAGCATTTGACAGTAAACTATTCAATATAGTGTACAAATAACTAATAAAATAAAAAACAACTAAGAAGACTCCAGTCGAGACTGCTCGACTAGGAGATACCCTGAATCCTCCAATCTGATATTCTAATCACTGTGCACTTCTTTTTAGCACACATACATACACACGCACGTATTAGAACGCGCTCTGCTAACTGCGCTTGGGCTGCGCTGCAGTGTGGGCAACAATATAAGAATTTATTTGTTGAATAATTTAATTCTAGACTTACAATCCTAATGATTCTTAACTTTCAGGGCGTAATCATATGGTGAAAATGTATGTACATTCCAAAGCACACATCTCTAGTAATTGAAATACGCCTTTTACAAAGGTGATAGTGAGGGGTTGGAAATAGGAGTGGGGGGTAATTTTAACAAAAATCGAAATTGTATAAAATACATATAAGTCTATATTTAAAATTTGGAAGCTCTAGCTCTAAAGGTGTAGGAGATATAATTGAATAACTAGCTTTCGATAAGGTTTTTAATCGATAATAAAATATCGAGGGTAGTTATCTATATTTAGAGAAAAACTTGATATGCGCGTGATATACACGGACCTAGGAAAAAAAATTCAAGTCTCTAGCTTATTATATCTTAGCTCTTATATCTTCTGAGATCGACGCGTTCATACATGCGGACGGACGGACGGACGGACAGACAGACGGACAGGGCCAAATCAACTCAGCTCGTCGCCTTGATCAAGAATATATATAGTTTGTCCCATTTTCAATGGGTTCAGGGTATAATAAGTGTATTCTTATAATATTTCATTCTTATCAGTGGGGTATTGACCTTTTTTTTAAGGTCCCCACCACAAGTGGCGCCTTGACATAAACGTATTTTCAATAAGTCGAATCGAAAGTTAAATAAATAATATTATTATTCACATTGCCATTGGAATTTGTCTCCATAACAATAATAAATATTTAGTTGACCACGTATTAGACCCTAGTTAAATGTAGTAAAAGGTATATTGTTGAGTACCGAGTTTTACTCTATAATTAACAACTTAAATATTTTGAGGTCCATGTCGAGTCATAACAAGCAAGTTTGTTTACTTCTTCTATCTGAAACTCAATCGTATATGAAAGAATATTATATAAGTAGTACCATTGTGATGTGATGTGAGTAGCTTACCCTATAAACATACATATATATAATAACACACAAATATAGAATATATGCAATGAGAACAATCTAATGGAAAATAATTGTAAAAATAAAAACAAAAAAAACGACAGGGTAAAGATCAAATCTAGCCGATTCCAATATACATATATATTAATATATATTACAGCAACTATTACAAAATTTCTTCACTCTGACTTGTTTACATTTTGTAAACCAGTTATACGAGCATTCACTTGCCTTGTTTATGGCATCTGTGTACATGTATAAATCAAGCTAATGACATTATGACATTATTATGCATTTCATTGATTATCATTAATCTGGCAATCAAATGCAGATACAGAGCTATTAGCCGAATGCGTAATTATTTGAGTTCAATCGAATTATAAATATATTGTTCGGAAAATATGTGACCTATTTATATATTGAGCAATTCGCAGCGTCGCGGCTATCAGTATAAAATTCTATTGAACAGCGAATATACATACACATGCAGCATGTTCAATGTATTCATTCAGCGATTTAGTTTATGATTAACAACCGAAGTTAACTATGTGGCTTGATCAAGCCAAGTCGACGTCATGATCAAGAATGCGTGTACATATATATGTATGTACACGTGTATTTTTAAAGAGGTAGGTATCGAGTGTGTCTGTTACATGCCATAACCCAATTGTGAAACTGAGCAACGGAAAGCAGAGCTCAAATCCCAAACTGGCGTATGGCTATAGCACTGTGTTTACACCACTAATGAACAAAATTAGACAGCTTTGTGCGAAGCTCAACACAACAATATTGTATAGGTATAATAATAGTAAAATAGTAAACGAAATCCTAATAAAATGCATTCTACTCTGCTAGTCATCCATCCTATCAGCGAACACCAAAGCAATTCTTCATGGTATAGAACTAATGGAAAAGAACAGGAAATATATTATTGGGTCCGCGTCTTCCTCCCTCGCATCTATCAAAATCCTCTTGTAATACCAAGCATTTACAACTCTCCTCCCCCAATCCCCGTAGAGTATCGAGTTACTGTCAAATTTACTGCCTAATATATAATAATACATATGTATATACAAGGCTTCCGCAACAACCCTGATTACATCCTATCATGCCCCAATTGCCATTCAGTAATGAACTATCCCCACCCTAGAGCCGAGATCTTCCCAAACAAATGCCTCATATTTTAGTAATGATTTAATAAAACCTTTAAATGTATTAACTCAATTACTTAGGGATATCCCAAGTTGAAGGTTTTAGAAGTTAGTTAGTTTTAATTTTACATTGTATTCAACTTCTAAATCAATAAATAATAGTAATACTACCGATTTTCCATTGAATTATATCTTATAACTCTATGCTTCGAATACATTTATAATAACCACCCAGTTCTGTCAGTGTATAGGTCAGCTTGCCAAAGAGTAAATGACTTTACTAATAAACCAAAACAAGGAAAAGAGTGTCAACGATAACAAAAGAAATACTAAACAATTGCTAGTTATAATTAACACATTAGTGAGAAAATTATTTATTTCCATGGTCTAGCTTCACAGCCAGACCAAGTCCCCAGCCCCTTCATCTATTTGGCAAAACGCACTTGTCTTGCTTTGCATGCGGAAGAAACACGACTTGAACTCAGACTCGTCAGATGTGTATAAACTTTGGTTATATCTATGCGAAAGATCGCACTCCTAATTAGCTAGCCCGGGCACGTAGAGCCCAGAC